GGCCTATTCCATGAGCCGGGGCCTGGAGCTGCAGCTCCATCAGCCCCTATGTTAATCTGGCCCTGGCTACTCAGCTCTTTGCAGTTTGTAGGGAGCAAGTAAAGCAGCAAACAGTCCAAATGAGAGTAGTGTCTCTGAAATGATCAAATCTTTCCTGTTTGAACCTAATTTGCTTCATAGTTTTGACTATCTGCTGGGATGAGAAGAAGTGTGTGTGGCCTACTCTATGTCTGGTTGCCCAGCAGCTTTTGTCATGTCCTCTGACCATTATCCAGAGTGAGCTAATGTTTACTGTTAACAGGGAATACTCTAAATCAACAACACTTACACATGTCCCCACAACTGATGGAGAAAATAGCCTTCCTCAAGTTCAATCTCCCTAAATTGGGTTATCCCGCTCATTACTTTAATACCTGAGACATCATCTGCTAGCTAAGATCCAGTTGGCAACTCACTTTAGCCTTCAAAGTTGTTTCAAAATGTATAAAATAATTCTAAAATCTGATGGTGAATAAAAAAAATACACATTTAAAATTACATCAATTTGAGTTTAATCACAGTTAATTTAATTACATTTAATTACAACAGAATCATCAACTTACCAGTGGAACATATGGGAGGATAATGTCAACCGAAAATGCTCTTTTTGATGACATTTTCTTTGTATTGTATTTTATGTGTTTCTCCCCTAACTTTTGTTGTGTAGTATGCGCAACGTATATTATTTATCGCCGGTTGCACCTTATTTGACCCTATAAGTGTTTTTTCAGAATGCATATGTTATCAATTTTACAATTGATGGATTTTTCTTTTTGTTTGTTTGATTTATTTGTATTTTATTCTTTATATTACATTTTGTATTTCATTGTTTTACAATGATTGTTATTATTATTGCTAAAAATGAAAATCTTTCAATAAAAAACATTTGACAAGAAAAAAAAAATTACATTACTCCATTACTGTTCCCAAATAGTGTTTTGCAATGGTTTGATATTGTTGACACATACTAATTGTTGGAGTTATAGCAAAGTTGCATATGAATAACATGTATGATTAAACTAAATGAGCAGCTTTTAAAAAATAAAATATTTTTCATGAAACCTTTTTTCAAAAACCATTAGCTTCCTGAGGTATAACGAATGCATGAATGCAAATACTAGTAGATTGAGTTGAGGGATAAAAAGAGGACTAATGAAAAAATCAAAGGAAGTAGTTTGTCATAGAAAGTATTTCATTGTATCATGCATAATAATACATAATAAGTTGTCATGAATAATTTGTTCAACTATATTAGGTCAAACATGAATGCTATATGTCTACAACAAAAGTTAGATTAGCTGAGCCTGAGCCTGAACCAGAACCAGAGCCTGAACCAGAGCCAGAGCCAGAGCCAGAGCCAGAACCAGAACCAGAGCCAGAGCCAGAACCAGAGCCAGAACCAGAGGCAGAGCCAGAGGCAGAGCCACTTTCTTCTTCTGAATTACTTGGGGAAGTGACTGTAAAAAAGCAGAAAGAAAACTTTAGATAACAAAAGGAGTAAAAGAAAAACATATATGTGTTTTTGCTTTAAAGGGAAATTATAGTGCACCACTCCATCGCACCTTCCCCCCCCCCCGTGTGGTGCAGAAGGGATTAAAAACCTAAAACCCCTTCTGTCACTTACCTTATTTCAGCGCCGATGTCCGTCTGTGCTCGTTAAGGCCTTGTCGGTGTCAACATCTGACGATGGCCGATGGCCACACTCGCATTAGGACGTCCCCATTGGAAAGCATTGTATAATGCTTTCCTATGGGGTTTTGGGTAATGCTGAGTGTCCTCATGCGTAGCGTGAGGACATCCAGTGTCAGGTGACCAAAATTTGCCACTAGTCCCTCTAGGTAGGCAGCCACTAGAGATGGAGTTAACCTTCAAAGGTAATTATAGCAGTTTATAAAACAAATTCAATAATTACCTTTGCAAGGTTAAGGGACCTTAGACACTGCACCCAGACCACTTCATTCAGCTAAAGTGGTCTGGGGGCCTACAGTGTCCCCTAAATCTGTGAATTTCAAAAAAATCTAATTTCAGTTTCTATAATCTTCTAGAAGACGGAAAACATTTTTTTTTTTTTTTTTTTAAACTTGCATTGTACTTTTAGGGTACTTTTCCCTCAGAAAGCTATATTACTATAATCCTTAATATTTATTTATAAAATATTTTACCAGGAAAGATACATTGAGATTTCTCTCGTTTTCAAGTATGTCCTGGGTCCACAAAACATTGCATTGATCCATTAGGGTACAATAAAATACACAAACAATATTAATACACAATATATACAAAATTTAACATAGAACAGGTAGGAAATATATAATCAACCATAACACGTGCATTCTGTTTTGAGGTGTGTAGAGAGTGATCTCTTAAACTATTCCTACAGGACTTTAGGCTTGGGGAAGATTTTAAAGTGTGCGGGAGGTCGTTCCATAATTGTGGTGCTCTGTGGGAAAAGGAGGATCTGGCCACTTTCTTTATGTATTCAGGTAGACTAAATAAAGTGATGGTACTGGATCGGAGGTTATAGGAGGTGGGAACAGCTGAGGAGAGCATTCTGCTCAGGTAGGGTGGGAGCTTCCCAGAAAAGCTCTTAAACACAAGGCCGGAAAGATGAAGGGTGCGTTCTTTTAGCATGTCACAATGGTGGGTCCTGTAATTAGTCCTGCAGAACGAGTTATACAATGTATTGAGTTTATTAATGTGGTGCACGTGCATATACTACATCCCCATAATAAATGATTGGCATCAGCATTTGCTGTAAAATCCCTTCCTTTACTGTAGGGCTTAGGCAGGATTTGTTTCTGTACAGAGCATCTAGTTTTGGATAAAGTTTAGATGTAAGTTTTTCTATGTCATTTGCAACAGTCTGATTTTAAACATACCCAGCCCAGAAAACAACCAAGAGCTCCATCAGTTGTTCCACTGCCATTTGCAACAGTCTGATTTTAAACATACCCAGCCCAGCAAAAAAAACAAAAGTTCCATCAGCTGTTCCACTGCCATTTGCAACAGTCTGATTTTAAATATACTCAGCTTACTAATTATTTATTAAACTGCTTACTAATTATATTTTATCACCGTAGAGGTTTATTCACTAAACTTCAAACTGTAGAGAATCAGAATGACAATATTTAGGAACAATAGCTGAGTCGGAAAATGTCTTCAACTTCTGTCTTTATAATGTAAAGTTGATGCAATTTATGTTTAATGGGTTTATATTGAGGTTTAGAGATGAAATAGTACAGACAAATGTTAAAATATCACTTATCTTACATGTGGATATCTAGCTGGGGGATAAACATATTTGCTGTCTCATGGTTTACAATAAACCTGTAGATTGTTAAATTGCTTTGTTTCCAATAGAAATGTAACAATTTTAAAGTTGTAACCATATATATTATTTGTCCTTATAGTTTAATTTTAGGTGTCCTGTTTTTAGGTACTCTGTTTATACTTGATACAGTAGTTTGGTTCACATGAGAGAACATATAGACAAAGAAGACCTAAGAGAGTATAAAAGGTTTACATACTGGTACATAATGCTCAGAACATGCATTCCATCATTCATATAAACACTTGTGGAGGGGGAGAAAATCGCTCTTCCAATAAGTGCCCTGAATACTAGGAGTTTACCAAGGGAGTTTACCAAGGAGGACACAAGGAGGAGAACAGCAGACCGTGCTTCAATCAACCACACACTGTTTTGCTTGCTGCAGTTCTGTTTTATATACATAATTTGTAACCTATTTAATTTTTTTTTTCTCATCTCCTTTTATTGTTGATTAGGTGAATCTTTCCTGTATTGTTTTTAACTTAAAAGCAACAAAAAGGTTATATTGGAAGTGCTTGAAAGTAAAGGATTAATACAAGACTTTACTCTTCTAACCATCCTAGCTGCTATCCCATACCTACAAAAAATAAATAAAAAAATGCTGATTTTATATAATAATGAAGATATTGAGCTATCTATACACATCTTAGTGAACATTTTAATTACAAACTATTTTCTTTACTGGGCACATTTTGCATTTATTTTATGGCTTACACTCCTATTCTATCTCAAACATAAAATTTGGATTAAACTTAGGGGTTACCCCCCACTATAGGGGTCATACTATAATAAGATTAAATTTCTTGTTACTTTACCATTTTTTCAAATGTACTACAGACAGACTTAAAAGTAAACCCCAGAGCCCTGTAGTACTTTTGTTTCTGAAAAGCTTTATGTGTGAAGAGTGTGTCCTCTTTTTTCATTTTGCAAAAATTGCAGATTTCAATAGAAATTGACAATTTTATAGTGACCTGGTTACACCCAACTGTCTTTCAAGCAGTCAACCAATCCTGTTGCTTCCTGGTTTGGTTTGGCCAAACTCAAGAGACAGGCAATTGCTCAGAGCACTTGCCTTGCAACAACGTCTCATTGAGCTGCATTGGGAAATCTGTAAACAGCCACAGCAACTCTGGACTGGGTTTGCAATGGCTTTGGACATGAAAACTGCAGCTTCTGCAAGTTGTTTTTAGATACAGCACATATGAAAAAAAATGCATAATTAAATGCATCCAAGATTTCATTTGGGGTTTATTTATTAAACAGTGATTTCTATTTATTTTGTATTTGGGCAGTGGAATGGTATCTGAGAACGAAATAGAATTCTTCAAAAGGTGATATGTAGCTCTGCATGCAAATGCAAAGTTTTGTTTTCTATAATATTAAATCTGTTGTGGTTAGGTTTGCCACCTTTAAAAAAAACAAAAAACAATTTGCATACTTAATTATGCATGTGTGATATCACAATATGTAAATTACAAGGAGTGACATAACATAAAATTCTTTAACATCTACAGAAAGCTACTTACAGTTTGATTATGCTGTAAGAGTGATTGCTCCCACTGTCTCCCTGTCTCACAGAGCAGTGTCTTTAAGTCCCCCAGTGTCTCAGTATCCCCATATCTCCCATTGTCCCTATGCCTCCCAGTGTTTCCTAGTGTCCCAGGGACAAAGACACATAGAGAAATGGGAACACTGAGACACTAGGGGACACTGGGAGACATGGGGACACTATGTATTCTAGTGACTCAGTGTCCTCATGTCTCCCTTCGTGTCTCAGTGTCCCCATGTCTCCCATTGTCCCCTAGTGTATCAGTGTGCCTTAGTGTCTCAGGTCCCCTCAGACACTGGGAGATATAGGGACACAGGCACTAGGGGATACTGAGATACACAGGGACACTGAGAGACATGGAGACATTATGTATCCTAGTGTCTTAGTGTCTCAGTGTCTCCATGTCTCCCAGTGTCTCAGGGACACTGAGAGAAATGGGGACACATACACTAGGGGATACTGAGATACATGGGGACACTGGGATACATAGGGACACTGGGAGACCTGGAGACACTATGTATCTCAGTGTTCCCTAGTGTCTCAGTGTCCCATTGTCACAGCTTCGGACTGTCCCCAGGTCCCCCCAGCTCGCATCCGGGCAGAGTGCAGTTGGCCTCTGCCCTCCCCTTTTCCTTTGTCCAGGGCAGGACATTACACAGGCCATCCCAGCAGAAGAGCTGGCATCAGGGCAGAGCACAGCTGGCCTCTGCCCTACCTATCCCCGTGTGGTTAAACGTGACACCCATCAGGCTCCTGCAGCAGAAGCAATACCTACAGGACAGAGCAGCACTGGCCTCTGCTCTACCGGTCCATGTGTTCTGGGACCGGACAACCCACTGTCCTACCCAGCTGTAACACTGGCTACGGTGCAGAGCACCGCTGGCCTCTGCCCACCAAGTAAACACAATGCTATACCTGGGGGTACTAGAGAGAACAGGGGTGATGGACACCCATTCAGCAGCCTTGGACCTGTAGGACAGAGTCTGACACCGGAGGCTACCCGGCCAACTAATTGTTTTTTGGTGTGTTTCCCAACTAACTCAGGTACCGACCAGCAGCAGGTCAGCTACCTGGTTAGTCTTTCCTTGGGGGGAAGATGGGTGGCAGAAATGCCTCTGCCATGTGATCTTGGAAGGGCCTGCTTGCCAAAAGACCTGCCCTTTAAAAACTGTTGTGATGTATGTACTTTTGTACTCCAGAAAGTCAAAATTATGACTTCCATGTAAATACCGAACCCCTGAACTGACCTGGGTGATTTTTGGATATGTTGGTCGCCCAAGATCGGGGCTATCAGGGATATGACTTTTGTGGGATTTCCATGTGTTTTGGGGGTACTTTCAGGTTATTGTAAAATGTGTTTTCTGTGCCTAGAGATAAATGAGTATAGTACAGTTCCTGATTCAATTATCTCTCAGGCACAGGGGAGGCATTATCCTGTTTTGTGTGGGAGTGTCCTGGACCTGAGAGCCAATGTAATTACAGTGTGTACTTTGTCACAGTCCCCTCCCAGGTCCTCTCAGGTCCAGTGGGAAATGCCCCTGGAATATGTTATCGAAAACCCCTTGCATGGGGACTTGCATATAAGGACAGTTGTGGCGGTCATGAAGCCTTTCTACTTCACCATCAATACAGAGCCTTGTCTCGTGCTTGTAGGTAACAGCTATAACAGCTATATCACTAGCTCTTGTTAGAGCTATCCTGCTATACTCTTTGGAGTAGGAAAGGTATACCCACTGGAAGCTGGATCCCTGACTTGGGTCCAGAGTGAGTGGAGGACAGCGTGACCCCAGCCAAGCTGTGGTGGCTAAGGGTCTACAGTGCTAATGGTGTCTGGTGAAGTGCTTGAAAGTACTCAGAGTTACTAGGAATCAGTGACTGGCAATCTGTCGCACTCCCCTATGGATCAGTGAGTAGAGAGAGACAGTGAGGGAGATGCTGTAACTTCCTATCCCTGTCTCTCTCCACACACACATCGCTCTCCACACACACAACACATACTGGCCAGCGCCGGTATTACAGTTTAAACTCGGTTTATACTGAGAAAAATACTGGATTTCTATTGCCAGTATTACTGCAATAGCGGCCAGGCAGCCTCAAACACCGTCTGTGCCAGTATTTTACCGGCCAGATGGCAACCCTAGTTGTGGTGGCAGCTGAAATAGTTGACAAGTATTCCTGAACTCGCTATCTAGAGTAAAGAGTGTAACATCAATGTAGTAGGATGGTTCTGGTATGCATAGCTATCTGTAGTTAAGCAACCCCTTAGCAAATGGAAACATGTATATAAAAATTATAGTAAAGTAAGGAGAACAGAGAAAAAAATGCAAAGTAAATGACGTATAGTAGAGACAGTAAGAACAGGAAGAAATGAGAGAGTTACAGAAGCCTAGGTGTGTGCTTAGTAGCGAACCTCGGCCAGGAATTCCAAGAAATGCCACAAGCCATTGTTAAACACCTTTGGCAATGAGGATAGAAACTATGTGTGTTTGGGGCAGTGTGTGTATGTGTAGGGCAGTGTGTGTATAGGGGGGTCTTGTGTGTGTGGGGCACTGTATGTGTCTGTGAGACAATGTGTGTATGGGTGTGCAGTGTGTGTGTGAAGCAGTGTGTGTATGGGAGGGCAGTGTGTATGTGAGGGCAGTGTGTGTGGGGGGCAGTGCGTGTATGTGGGGGGTAAGGAGGGCAGGGAGGCTTTATAATATTTTTTTTAAAATTTTTATTTAACAAAATAAATATATGTCCCCCTTATTACCTTTACTGAGGGAGGAGGGGGGACATTTCTAAATCCCTGGTGGTAGGGATTTAGAAATGTGGTAGGAGTGAACTCCTACCACAAGCCCGTAGTTCACTCTCGCGAGATGGTAACCGCGGCAACGCTTTGTGCTCGCGAGAGCTGAGCTCCTGGGTCCTCCCTCCCTCCCCTGCCGGCTGCCATATAGGGGGGTTGTGTGTGTGTGGGGCACTGTATGTGTCTGTGAGACAATGTGTGTATGGGTGTGCAGTGTGTGTGGGGCAGTGTGTGTTTTTAATTTTTATTTAACAAAATAAATATATTTATGTCCCCCCTCCCTTCTTACCTTTACTGAGGGAGGAGGGGGGACATTTCTATATCCCTGGTGGTTCCAGTGGTAGGAGTGAACTCTAGCACGTAGCTCCAGGGCTAGAGTTCACTCTCGCGAGATGGTAACCGCAGCAACGCTTCATGCTCGTGAGAGTGGGACCCGAAGGTGCTTTGGTCCTCCCTCCCCTGCCGGCTGCCAGCAAGGTGCCTGCGGACCGGGGAGGGAGATCAGAGATCAGAGATCTCCCTCCCCGATCCGCGGGCACATTACAGGGCTGGCACTTGGACAATGCCAGCCCTGCATTAGCTGGCAGGGGAGAATCTCGGGGGGGGGGGAAACTGCCCTGGATCCGCCAGTGCACCTAAGTGCCCACTCGTCAGTGAACGTGCTCTCCGCACAACCTTCAGTTGCCTTCTGATCACACGCTGCTCACCTGCACACGCAGCCTAGAAGCCTTTATTTGCACTGGTCCCCTCGATTATACGGCCACACTTCCAGGCATTCTAGGCTTCTCTCCCAACGTTAGCCCCCACTACCAAAAATAATTTCCCTCAGTTTCACTGCCCGATCCCACCCGAAGCTAGACACTATATCTGTTAAGCACTACCATATGTGAATTTTGTCGTGCATGCAATACTTTTCTTTTATCTTCTGTAAACTATTGGGCTTCTTACCAGTATCAAAAATAAAGAATAAAAAAAAAAAAGAGCTTTTTTATGTGCAACTTTATTCTGGTGTGCTTGAGGTTTCTTTATCTATCAGGCTTATGGATCTGGATGGGGATCAGATTTTCTCTTTGAGCACCTGGTAACTTTTTACTACATCAACCCCTTAAGAACACATGATGGAAATATTCCGTCATGATTCCATTTTATTTCTGAAGTTGTGTGTCCTTAAGGGGTTAACCCATACAGACATTTTTAGCGCTCACTATAATTTTCGATTCAAAAAAAGTTACATGACATTAAAACCCCAGGAGGATATGCCCACCGGATGTGAAAGACCAGGCTTGCCCGGGTGACTGTGATGAAAAGAACAAATCAACCTAGGAGCATGGACATCTATCTTGGGAACCCAATTAAGCTCTTCCCTACTATAAGGCTTACAATGAACGAGATACTGAAGATGACCCCTAAAATATCTATACTCAAGAATAGATTCAACTTTGTATTCCTCAACCCTCTCAACAGAAATAGGGTGAGGAAGAGCACGAGGCCCAGTGAACCTTTCTAAAACAAGAGGTTTCAATACGACGGTATAAAAGATATTGAGTATAGGCATGGAATAAGGCAAGTTCGTTGCATAAAATACGGGGTTAACTTTATGCAGGATACGGAAAGGACCAGTAAAGCGAGGAGCAAATTCACGAAAGGCACTTAGAGACAGATAGGGGATAGGGTCTGGCATTCTACATGAACTATCACATAGGAAGGCACTGCAGGATCAGTGGTGTATTTTAAATTTGTGCACCCCCCAATCTGAATTTGCTCCACCCCTTCCTGTCAAGGCCGCACCTCTTCCCATTTAAGACCAACAAGCAGTTTGACTGACAGACACACACTCTCAGATACACATACGGTGACATACATTCACTGACAGACACACACTGACATACACTCACTGACAAATTCACTGACTAAACATACACATTCAAACACTAATAGATGCACACTGACAGACACAAGCACTTACTCAGATATACACTCACTCACAGACATACTATGACAGTCACATACACATTCACTAACAGACACACACTCATTTACTAACAGATACACACTCACAGACATACACTGACAGACACACTCACTAACAGATACACACATTCACTGACATACACATTAACTGACAGTCACACACATTCACTCACAGACACACACATACAAATTGTCAAATACAAGTTTAATTTAATTTTAATCTGCTGCTGGGTGGGCTGGCATGAAGGCACAGGCGGGTGGGCCGACAGGTCAGTCAGCCAATGCGGGTGGCGAAGGAGCACTGTGCTCTGAGCTCTTCCTGCTCAGCTCCCTTGTGCGCCCCGCAGTGATGCAAGGAGCCGGAATGATATCATATTCCGGCTCCAGGCATCACGGCAGTGCGAGCGAGGCAG